GAGTAACCCAGCTTAATCGGGTTAATCTTCAATTCGTGTCTCATATCTATACTCATGTAGTATTATTCATCGAACATGTTATCTAATTCCATGCATACTTCCTTTTATCAGAGGTTCTATACACAAATTTTCATGGATGAGTAGCGATAATATTCAAATAGGAGATATTTTATTATTCTAGAGCTAGATTGAAAAATTATTTATTTATTCACATTTATTTCTATAATACCAAATATTCAAGAACTTAGGCCCTATTTAATGGGCATTAAATTTCATGGAACTAGGAATTTCTTTTCAATTTCCCACCTAATATCATATTTGATGAGCCAAAAGTTGATGGGAATTTGTTTTCTTTTTTCTTTTTTTTTTTTGATATCCAAGTATCCTAACTTACACCAGACTATGTCCTGAACCATCCATCCCCGACCCCTCAGTGATGGGTGGAAGTTAATCGCGGGATATGCCCAAGTCGATCAGGGTCTGTGCACCCTTTATACTCCTGACCCCAAGGGTGCCTTCCTCCATGAATATTACATCACCAAGCTGCTCCACCCCAATTGAGTATTGCAACACTCAGCTGCTCCATCCAGGAATCGAACTCCCCACCCTGAGGTTGCAAGCCCAGCAATGCCCATCTTTTGCCAACTCGGATATGCCCCGGGGGGCTGGGAATTTGTTTTCTTGCTCCTTGCTCACGCTGGCAATGGAAAAAAATTTCATAACTAATTGTGAATTTTTTTTTTCACTTTAATGGACAATTTCCATGTAAAACAAATACTAAACTTTGATTTTAAAAAAAAAGTGATTTTTTAGGAAAAAAATTTCCCTTTTTTTTTCCTTTTTGGCAATGGAAACAAATTTTATAACCAATTGTGGAAAAGATTATCACTTTAATGGACAATTTTCATATAAAATGAAGCCAAACGAATACAAAATTTTAAAATTTTCCGGATGAAAATTATACAAATCAAAAACATTTAATAAAAAAGTTCCTGCAAAATAATTTTTAGACAATTACTTTATCTGAAATTCATTTTTTTCCCATCCATTTTGTACAAGACCCTTAGTTGATTTGTACTGTTTTGGTAATAGACGTCAACGGTCTTGGAATTGAGATGTCAACAGCTGAACAAACCCAACGGCCCAACCTACTACGCAAACTTAACATCCAAGTTGTTACCTATAACATAACATAGTAGATAAAGTTACGTTTCTTCTCAGTTTTACCAAAAAGCCCTCCACTCAAAACCAATATTTAAAAATTTTGGCTTTTTTTGAGGAGATTTATTCATAGATGAAATGATTGCTTTTGCTTTCGCCTTTAAAAATTGTCACGAAGTCAACTGTTGATTATGATGATAATGTTGGTTACATAAACTTTTGTAATGAATTGTTAAAAGGTTTCATAATGGCAGAAAGAACGACGATAAACATGGTAGAAGATAAAAAGTTTCTATAATCATTTTTATGGTAAAGTTTATATTATATTTAATATTGAGGAGTATTTGTGATAATGTAAGCTAACAACATAATTTTGTTACATTTTTCACGACGACGAGATGTCGAAATATTTTCAATGATTTATATGTTAAGATACAGAATAACATTTTTTATTTTTTATTTTTCATGGCACTTTAAACACTTCGCCGTCATTGACTATTTATCACGAGTCCTAATTTTAAATTGTCAATTAGAATGTTCACGGTTTGTTTTCGTGCAATTATGCTATCCTCTAAAATTATTGTCGTTTGCTAAACGACATTGTTAATTTGCATATATAGTTACTAGGTGCAAGCAACGTGCAATGTACGTTTGCTTAGTTTATATTTAATATTTTTGTTTAATAATTAATTTGTTATTAATAAAGATGTAATTTTTTTTGGTTAATTAAGGGCGTGTCTGGGCGTGCTGCAAGGAGGAAGGAAAATTGATTATGTT